ACATGATGTGGAGAGCCTGAAATGCGACCTCCTGAACAGAATTCCTTACAGAACCGGGTCACAAGCTGGATTTCACGCTGTAATGCTGTCTGTCAACTAGTGCTGCGTCAGTTAGAGACACTGTAGCAGAATTGCCGACTGACTAGCTAAAGGAAGTGAACCACGTCTCTCAGACTTTGCATTTAGGTAGGGAATTGTCTTTAGAAGATGTTAAAACGTTTATTTAGCTTACTCACCTCAGACTGGAGCCCGCCGTGGTGGGGGAGCAGAGTCGGTGGGCTGCATCTAAATCGCGGAAGAGCCACGGTGGGCACAGCCTCCCTCTTCAAACGGAGGCGTGCAGAATAGCGGGTAAAATGCCCACAGAGTCACCGCAACCATACTACACTACACCATCTCACCATGCTAACACGATATGGAGCACTAAACCCGAACTACTTTCCCAATTACAGTACCAGCCAAACACTAACCAAACTACAATATCCAACAGCCAAACTAACACTAAATAAGTATTTATAACACTAAAAGCTATGCTAAAGACTAGGAAATGCTAATGCTATATGCTAATGCTGAACTACCGCTGACCTCCTCGCTTGCAAATCCAACTCCCACTCGCTACAGGGCGTGGCCGAGACGCTCGTTGCTTTTATAACTTTGGCACGGCGCTGCTACGTAGTACTCTACTGGTTTACGTAGTATCTTACTCTTTAGCCATTGGCTAAATTCATTCAAAATGACGCAAATTCTATGTTTTCAGCTGAAGGTGGCGCATTACTGTGGTTTTTAGACAGAATTTTTAATTTTTGAAGAAAATGCACCAAAATGCTAAAATAAAGAATGCACACATTTAAACACTATTAGACACTCATTTATACAGTTCATCAGCAAAAAAAAAAAGTTAATTTAGACGTTACTTGCTCTTTAAGAAGCTTTTCCGTCCTCCACTCGTTACCTGTATTAATGGAACCTGTTTGAACTCATTATCTGTATAAAAGACACCTGTCCACAGCCTCAAACAGTCAGACTCCAAACTCCACTATGGCCAAGACCAAAGAGCTTTCGAAGGACACCAGGAGAAGAATTGTAGACCTGCACCAGACTGGGAAGAGTGAATCTACAATAGGCAAGCAGCTTGGTGTGAAAAAATCAACTGTGGGAGCAATTATCAGAAAATGGAAGACATACAAGACCACTGATAATCTCCCTCGATCTGGGGCTCCACGCAAGATCTCATCCCGTGGGGTCAAAATGATCATGAGAACGGTGAGCAAGAATCCCAGAACCACACGGGGGGACCTGGTGAATGACCTGCAGAGAGCTGGGACCACAGTAACAAAGGTCACCATCAGTAACACACTACAACGGCAGGGAATCAAATCCTGCAGTGCCAGACGTGTTCCGCTGCTGAAGCCAGTGCATGTCCAGGCCCGTCTGAAGTTTGCCAGAGAGCACATGGATGATCCAGCAGAGGATTGGGAGAATGTCATGTGGTCAGATGAAACCAAAGCAGAACTTTTTGGTATAAACTCAACTCGTCGTGTTTGGAGGAAGAAGAATACTGAGTTGCATCCCAAGAACACCATACCTACTGTGAAGCATGGGGGTGGGAACATCATGCTTTGGGGCTGTTTTTCTGCTAAGGGGACAGGACGACTGATCCGTGTTAAGGACAGAATGAATGGGGCCATGTATCGTGAGATCCTGAGCCAAAACCTCCTTCCATCAGTGAGAGCTTTGAAGATGAAATGTGGCTGGGTCTTCCAACACGACAATGATCCCAAACACACCGCCCGGGCAACAAAGGAGTGGCTCCGTAAGAAGCATTTGAAAGTCCTGGAGTGGCCTAGCCAGTCTCCAGACCTCAACCCCAATGTGGAGGGAGTTGAAAGTCCGTGTTGCTCGGCGACAGCCCCAAAACATCACTGCTCTAGAGAAGCTCTGCATGGAGGAATGGGCCAAAATACCAGCTTCTGTGTGTGCAAACCTGGTAAAGACCTATAGTAATCGTCTGATCTCTGTTATTGCCAACAAAGGTTATGCTACAAAGTATTGAGTTGAATTTTTGTTAGTGACCAAATACTTATTTTCCACCCTGATTTACAAATAAATTCTTTAAAAATCCTGCCATGTGAATTCATGGATCTTTTTTCACATTCTGCCTCTCACAGTTGAAGTGTACCTATGATGTAAATTACTGACCTCTGTCATCATTTTAAGTGGGAGAACTTGCACAATCGGTGGCTGACTAAATACTTTTTTGCCCCACTGTATAACCATTCAAATACAATAAGAATTCCCGAGTAGAGTTTAGCAATCCAGATCAGTCCTGTTTCCGGAATCAGATCCAGAAACATTCAAAGTGACGCTGCCCACCCAATCCCAACTTCAATGTCTAAACGCCAACGAGAACAGATGGGTGTGTAAGTCTGCTTTTAAACCTCTCACGTGACTGGGCCTGCTTCACATCGGCCGGCAGCTCATTCCAGAGCCTTGGTCCGAGCACTGAGAAGGTACGGCTCCCACGAGACGTCAAGCTGTACCTGGGCACAGTTAATAGCCTCTGGTCAGCTGACCTAAGGGAACGCACCGGGACATGTCGGTGGATGATGTCTGACAGGTATGTCGGTGCCCCTGAGTTTGACGCTTTAAACACAAACAGGATAACCTTAAACGTGATGCGACAGGAGACAAGGGGCCAATGCAAGGCACCTAGGACTGGTGAACCTCCTGGTACCTGCTAACAACCGAGCTGCCGTGTTCTGAACCACCTGGAGGCGTGCTATTGGAGCTTGCCTAAGCCCCGCATATAGCGAGTTGCAATAATCCAGCCTGCAGGTAACAAAGGCATGGATCACAGTTTCCAAATGACTACGTGACAGAAATGGCTTAATCTTCACTATCCGCCGCAGATGAACATAGCAAGTTCTCAGGATTCTGTTTACTGGAGAATCAAATCTGAGCTCTGCGTCCAGCTTTACCTCAAATGCTTCTGTGTTTTCCCGTAGCTCGTTGAGATCTCCTGATACAAAATTCATTATAAATTATTATTAAATGACACAACATGACCCATAAATGATGCAAAATAAAAATCAGCACCCTCTAGTGGATGGTTTCAGAGTAAGCTTTAAGCCCCGCCCCTCTGGCATAAACGGGTTCAGGGGCTGCGTCCTTCAAAGGACCCGACCCACCTGATCCATGTAGGCTGGGCTCCTTGCCGGCCACTAAGACCGGAAGTAATCCAGCCCATCCTTCAACGTATGTCCTGTCACCTAGCAACCATGGCAACGCACATGACAAACTTTTACAGCTTCATTTGCAAAACAAAAGAAAGAGCCAGCATCTCCAACCAATGGTTCAGCTCCTCTGAGCATGCGCTTTGTGACTCTGTCCAATAATAAATCAAACCTGAGTGATGTCATGTGACCAAATTCATAGTTTGTCAGCTCAGAACCAAAAATTACATCATAACATTTTTTTATTGAAGCAAAAATAATTAAAAAAAACACATCAACAAATCTTAAAGACAACGTGTCCTGTGATCATAAATGATGTTACGATGATTCACATTTTAAATATGTTACTGATTAACTTTGGAGGTGGACTCCATTCAAGATGGCCGCCACAGCTAATCTTTGTCATAAATCAGTCATTTTAACAGATACGGAGCCGTAATTTGGTTCCGTACCAGCTGAGGGTCTCCCACAGCTCATCTTGTAATTTTGTATAAATAACACAAAAGATATTTTCTAAATAAGACCAAGGTTGCCTTATCTTCGTTGTTTATCTACATTCAATGATCTTCTGTTTCGTAAAAGTCGGGTTTCATTGACTCAAGGATGTTTTATTAAACCAAACAGCAGAAGACACGGTTTTGTCAGATAAAGCAACACTTCGATTAGACTAATTGTTTTTCTTGTGGGTGGACTGATCATAAATTATTCTCCACGTGCCACTCTTCCGCTCTGGGCCAGGAGACGTGCTGCTGCTGGTGTTTAGGAACTTCTTTAGAGACTAGAACGTGACGGTTTGTTTCTGACCTCTCTCTGTGTGATCAGATCCGAGCTCTGCCGCATGTTCGGAACAGCAGCAACTCCAGATGACCACGTTCTCCTGCTGCTCTGCAGCTGCTGGCTGATCTCCGTTCCACAAACGTTCCACAGTCAGATTCCGATCAGGCACCTTTGTGTTGTTGGAGTTTGTAGGATGAATCCTGAAGCTGCTTTAGCTGAAGTAACTTCTGATTTCTGCTGCATCACTGACTCATCTGGGTTTGGATGCTGCTGATCTTATAGAGCACCCCGTGTTCAAGTTCCTTCTGACTCTATCTCCTGCTGTTGAAAACATGAAGACGGCTTTCCTAAAACACCGACCTTCTCTCCGCCTCCCCTCGAGTTTCAGCTGCTTCTTACAGACCAGGCAGGAGAGCAGATTCACAGTGACGTGATCTTTTCCACATAACTTTGTTTTTGATGAAATCTGTTCAACTTGTTCTGCTGTGGGATGATTTAGGGCAGCAGTAGCTCAACAGGTTGAGCGGGTTGTCCAGTAATCGGAAGGTTGCAGGTTCTATCCCGGCTCCGGACAAGAGAATTATGCTGTTGTGTCCTTGGGCAAGACACTTAACCCACCTTGCCTGCTGGTGGTGGTCGGAGGGATCTGCCAGTGCGCCCCACTGTAGTGTAAAGCGCTTTGGAGTCCTTACTCTGAGAGGTTCTATACAAGTGTGGGTCATTTATCATGATTTCACATGTGGAGCTGATGGATGAGAGAACCAGCTGATATTACATGAAGGTTGCACCTTTTCACAGAGGAACTAGGGATGTATTTGGTGTCAGCAATCATTCTGCAAGTGCAGGCTGAAACCAAACTAGATAATAAACACTTTATATTTCAAAATTCAATTCAAATTCAAAGATTAATCCCAGAGGGAAATTAGAGTTTCAGTACACACAATTCTGAGATCAGACATACATACATACATACATAGGCAAAGACACATGACAAGAATTGGTGACTGTGGACATTCGCAACCCTGAGTCGCGCTACCTTAATAGAGATCAGAGGGTTTACATGAGGATTGGGTCAGGTGGAGGGAAAAAAGGCACTTCAGAGTTACCCTCCACCGGGAGGGCAGCTTTGCTATGCAAAAAACACCTCGGACAGAAATCCAACAGACTTCAGATATCACACAACATAAGTGCCCACTAGGTGGGGTGGTAGGGTTGGGGACTCTCCACACATCAGTGCATGCAGCCGCGATAAGCAGCGCTCGTCACCTCAGCCTGGAAAGGGGTGGAAGGCCGTTTGGTTTACAGAGCACAGTGACTCCTGGAACGATTCAGCGGCCTTCAGCTCGCAGTCCCGCCCAGGCCGGGATAGGGAGACAGCGTTGCCATGGCGACGGCAGCATTCCACATTTTTTCTGAGGGGGGAGTATTTGTTGCAGCCTCACGAGCTCAAGGGCACCAGATTCAGATTAGAAATTGTTTTGGGGCCAGACAGAGATAATTTCCTCTCTGTCTTAAAGTTCTGTTGATCCTCAACCTCTCAAAATCCCAATAATGGCGTAAATTAATCTATTCCAATGCGTGCTGATTCGTCCACTTGCTCCTTGATCGCATCCATCTTTTGTGTCAATGCATGAATCTCAGCCAAAGTTCCAAGCTTACGACTCATCTCGACAATCATATGAGTTTGTGTGTTCACAGCGTGGTGTAATCCATCCCTGAGCTCCGGAGTGAGCCAATATTCCTCGACAGCTCGTTAATTTTCCGGTAAGTCAGGTAAACTCCAACGCCAAAGAGCAGGAATCCTGACACCAACACCACGAATATCCAGACGTCTTCAGAATCCTCTACAGACAGTTGAGAGAGGCAGATCAGGCTCCAATGTTTCCAGGAGTCCATGATGTGCCCAACTGGCTCTGTCTCAGAGGGGCAACCGGGAGCCCCTCCTCCCGTTCTCATCGTTGAGAAAATTTTGTCAATCGCATTGAGAGACCAACTGACCAGATCCATTTTTAATAACTTCCAGTTTTCAGAAAAAATGCAGAAGCGCCGTGCACCCACAGACAGACAAAGAGCCTTGGGATAAGACAGGGAGGAGAGGAGGGAAAAAGCGTCTGTACTCTCCAAGAGCCGGAAGCATTGCTATTTCATAAGTCATGGTTAACTATGATTCATGCACAGATGTTTTCATTCGCAAACATCAATTTTAATTTGCAGCTTTTGTCTCGTTTATTTGCTCTGGTGATCAGTTGTAACAATTAGAAGCAGTCTCCATCCCTGGGGACGGTTCTTCTGGGTAACTCCGCTGTGCAGCAGAACCACATCTAAACGTCACTACTGAGAAGATCCATCTGCCCGCCTTTTACAAATTTCCATTATTAACATTATTATTTCTTTCATATTTAAGAACAATCCCTGCGCCTTCCCTGATTTTCTCTTATTATTGAATCGTGACCTTTGACCCTAACCTGAACCAACTGAGGCCTTCAGAGAGTTAGAGGTTCTTTTTATCTTAAACTTCTTTAGAACAAGGTGTAAAGTGTTGTTTTTTAGGGTTTTAGCCTACCTCGTAACCATTTGTTAAAGGGACACTCCTCCTCTAAGTAAAATTTAGTCTGTGGCCATAGTCCCCAGAAGGAGATGAGTGGGAAAGAGCATTTTGTAACCAGCACAGTCATTCTCCTAATATGGCAGCATTCTGTTAGCTTTAGCTACACATAAACAATGCAAATGAATGGTAACTGCTAACATTTTGTATGAAAAAGTCATGAAAAGGACTCAACAATGATCCTACTGACCTCATTAATCACATTGTCTGCAAATGACAAGAAGTAACATGAAGGAATTCCGGTAGTTCATTTAAGCTCGGGACTACGTTACAACAAAGCACCGCTGCAAGGTGCGAGAACACGACGCTGCAGCCCCAAGACACCTACTCCATCTGTCATGTAGAGCAATTTTCTATGCTGTTCCTTCAGGAAAGTGTACCTGGTATGAGCCCAGTGGCACATTTGTGTTTACAAAATAAGTGCCTGTTTGAATTTGAATGATTGAAATGCAGAGGTGGAAAGAGTACTAAAATTTCCTACTTAAGTACGAGTACCAATACTTTGATAATTTTTTACTCAATTACAAGTAAAAGTACTTGCCTAAATTTTCACTTAAGTAAAAGTAAAAAGTATCGTAAACAAAATGTACTCAAAGTAAAAGTTACTTAGTTACATTTTTGTCAGCGTAAGGATGGCTACATCTACGTAGTGCTGAATCACAACGCCAGTTCACAATTCGCTCGTGTGTGCTCGCGCACACACACACACACACACACATACACACACGCTCAGCTTGAAGGAGGGATTTCTATCCAGTCAGTGAGAACAGGACGTGCACATTGATTGGACGAGGTTTTTCTAGGATGGTAAGTTTCAATTGTGGTTAAAATTATTCTTTATTTTGAGAAAAAATAATTTTTTAGAAGCCATCAGTGTGTGAGGTATCTCAATGTTCTCATGACAACACTCTAACATGAGACTGCTCTAACCTGTCACATAACAAGCTAAATGCAGTCAAACATCTCAGATGGAGCGTATGACAGCTGCTAACGTTGGCCCTGCCCTACTTTACCTCTACATTACAGTTCCTTTATCCATGTCCATCCTAGAGCTCCTCTCTGACCTTCATGCTTATTTAGAGCAGCTGATGTTTAAAGTTAGCAGAGTTAATCCTTGGTAGTGGGTTCACTCACTCATTTAACCCTTCACCACTGAAATCAGTTTGTTCATTCCAATCCTCCTAAATAATCCTCCAATCATCCAACTGGAATCCTTAAGGGTCCCGTAACGTCCATCCTGTCAGAACAGGCCTTGGGAGCCCAGGTGTTACTAGAACTAACGGTGTCTCCTCACCAGCGTGAGCCTCCACACTGGGAAGGTTGGTCTCCAAACATGAACTTTAAATTCATGCATTCATCTCCTCTTGTAACACTTTAACATGTTTTAAAAGGCTTGTATCATGATAAGTTACCCCTCCCAGACCAAAGATAAGATAAAACATTATCATAAACACTGCAGAGACGTCATTATTTATGAAATATAAGTTATTTTCCTGAGCCGTTACTGCAGCCAAGATATAAGATGCATGGATTTGATGAAACCACGCTGTCTCCTGCAGTCCTATATGTGTAACACACACACACACACACACACACACACACACACACACACACACACACACACACACACACACACACACACACACACACACACACACACACACACACACACTGCAGCATGTTAGAATCATGTGAATGACTAATTGAACTACATTGAACTGCTTTAGTAATAATTGAATCTCTTATTCTGGAGTAAAATAAAGAAACAAGCTAAATCATCACATATCTGTGGCATCAAGGAGCATCTTCTGAGTTCAAACACAGGGATGGAGCACAATGTTTACACCTGAACAGTATCAGGATGTTTTAACTCACAGAGGCCTGCAGGTATCCTGTTTTATGATCAAAGCACTGATAATCCGCTTGTTAGGAGCGCTAAACGTTATTTAGCCGCTGCCGTGCGGAGCGGTAGAGAAACACATTTCAAACACGGAACCGAGTCCGGCTACCGAACCGAGCAGAATTCTGATGACGTCACACCGGTGCGCAAAGGTGCGGGTTCCAACCCACAGGAGAGGAGGGAGAGAGGAGGTGAACAGCGAGTTGAGGAACTGAACCGATGTCTTTGAGCTAAAGTGTACACCCCCACACCCCCCCCCCCCACGGTTTAGACGCGGCGCTCATGCAGGTGTCTCTTTCTGTTCCGACGCTGCTACACGTAATATTTGTAATTTATTAAGCCTATAATTTGTTTTTACTCAGTAACGGATATGATTTAAAATGTAGTGAATTACAATTCTTTTTTAAAAACTTACTCAAGTAAAAGTAAAAGTACAGCTTTTAAAAACGACTAAAAAAGTATAAATATACAAAAAAGCTACTCAATTACAGTAACGTGAGTAAATGTAATTTGTTACTTTCCACCTCTGTTGAAATGCTAGTTGTTACCATTCACTCACATTGTTTATGCTAAGCTAAGCAAACAGGATACTGCCAGGTTCATCGGGCTGGTTACGAAATGCCTTTTCCCACCTATCTAACTCTAGGATGTGGAATTTTGTGTTTTAGTCAGATCTTTGACGTTGGTTTGTTGATCTGGAACATTTAACAAAACCAGAAGTATTCTGCAGCGGTGCCAGTGCGTTTTCACGTGTTCTTCAACTGTTAAAACATAAAATGACACAAGATTCTGCTTATGTGGTATTTTTGAGGCAGAGTCGTCAGTAAGTGGTCGTCAGCCTCTGATCCGGGGTCTAGTTACTACTCGTGTGGATATCTGCTGTCACAAATGCATCAAGTGATTAGAAATTTGACAATGGCTGTGTCTCAATTCAGGGTCTGCATCCTTCGAAGGACCCAGCCCACCCGGCCGACGTGGGCTGGGTCCTCCGTCGGCCGGGTAGACCGGATGTTAACGGCTGTGAATTTGGACAGGCCTAGCCTTCATGAACTCCCTCCGCGAACGTTCCGTCGCCTAGCAACCGTGGAACCGCTGGGCAGAAGGGAGAAGGAACTTTAAACGATGGAGCGCGACGTTTTATTTAGCTTTTTAACCCCCAGAGACCCAAATTTAGAAAACAACTGCAAAATCTTTTTTTAACCTTTCACATGTTGTTCTAGGAGGCCAGATAAACGGGCCTATTTACACATTTTAACAGCCAATAGTGTTGCAGAACTGAATAGGACCTATTAGCAATGTAAATGTGGTTTTAAAAAGAAAAAAAATGGGGAAGGTTTATTTTTGTAGACTTAAATCTGATGTTGTAATATTACAACCGTGGGTCTCTGGGGGTTAATCATTTCCTTGACTGTTGGAGAGCTAATTCAGAGAAAATACTTTCGACAAGCTGAGCCTGAGCAAAGATGTAATAATAGTTTTTAATACTTTCTAAGGGTCTTAACTTGACCAAAACCGATTTATCACCTTTTAAGACTTTTCAAGACCCAGCGGATACCCTCTAGTAAACAATTCTCATTTGTAAACCAAAATAAAATCCAAGAGTTTAATGCAGAACTGATTTTATTTAGATATTTCTTTTATATGTACATGTTTAATCTTTATTAACCATTTTTTCTAGCAAAGTAAAAAGCTGTCAAAGTTCTTCCTTCTCTCCTGCCCTCTGCTGCTCTGCCTCCCTCTGCAGCCTCATGTCCTCCCTGATCAGCTCCAGAAGCTCATCGCTGGCACCTTCCCCTGGATGCCCATTTTCTCCAGAATAGTCTTAACAAACATGTAAGAAAAGAAACAGGAAGAGAAAAGAGGACAACGGGTTATTCCTTTCATGTTTTTGCAGAAAAAATAAACTCAAATGAGTTTTTAAAATATGAGAAGTTATTGTACCTCCATGCCACAGCCGCCGAATACTTTGCTCCGGTGATCATGTGGTCCATCTCCGCCCTAAGCTTAATAAATTCCCTGGTTTTCTCTTTTGTTCCTAAAATACAAACTTCTATTAAAATCAGGGGGAAACGTAGCGGGAGAAGGACGACACCGAGTGGCCGAACATACGAGCCGAGACCGCAGTACAAGCACTTTTACTGTAACATTTCTAACTAAAATAATGTTCATGTATCACAAAAAGCCCTTAACCTAACAGTTTTCAAGTTTATGCTGACATTTATATGCGCAATCCTCTCCGACAGCTCCCGCTTCACTGTCCGCCATTGTTTCTAAGTTTTTCTGCCGGCCGGCCCGCAAGGCATCTTGGGAAATGCTACCTATTGAAGGATACACCCGACCCATCCTTCATTCAGGCGAAAAGAAGGCCGCATTCGTCGACCGCATTTGAAGGAGTCTTCGAATTGGGACAGGCCGAGTCGCGGCGCTGTGACGTAACCGGCCGACGAATCCGGCCGACGTAGGATGCAGACCCTGAATTGAGACACAGCCAATATGTTCTGTCAGTGTTTGGTTTTAGGAGGTATGTTCCTGGGAAAAAATGTTTTTACAAGTCCCAGTTTGTGACATCACAAACGGGGGAAACAGATTAGAACCACCTCTCACATGCAAAAGAGAGCTGAAGCTGAGAAGGGGCTCTACACTGAGTCCCTCTCCAAAATCAGAGCTTCTCAGCCTATAGCAGCCTGAGTGGGTGATGAGTGGGGGTGGACAGCTCCAGCTTCTTTTCTTAAAGTGGCAGAGCCCTGAAATGACTCATTCTGGAAGGCACTGAAACTTTTAACATTAAACGGCTTTCAGTTGCAGTGTGTAGTTTCCAGCCACTAGAGGGCAGTACATGCATACATTTCAGGGTAGTTTTACACCACATCTTCCCGACTGTCGCTAGTTAGTAAAACGTTACAGTAAATGTCACCTGTGGAGCAGAAAGAATGCAACCTTGGCGTGACTCCTCAGGCTTTGATGGTTCTTCGTGTGACTCCATAAAAGAATGCAATGCCAATTGTAGTTTTCAGGCGCTGTTTCCGGATCTGCCTGGGGGAGCCATAACATGTCCTGTTTAATGACAGGGTTCTGTAGGCTCATGGAGACAGCAGCTATCCACAATGTTCCCTCTCCAACTAGCCGTTACCTTCTCAATCTGTTCAGATTAAACTCTATCGCTCCAAACTGAAGTAGGTGATCAGGGTTTTTATTTGTCTTTACGAGTTTAAACGGCATCTACTGTCCTCCTCTGAAGAGGCACTCTGCCCCCGCTGTCCAATGCCTTCTCGCTGAAGGAATCCTGTTACTCCTCACCCTGCTGCAGAATATCCTTGTGTCTCTGCACAAACTCCCCTACAGGAATCCCAAGAAGTCGTATTTGACTGTAAAATGATTTCATTTGAAAAGCAGAAAGTGTTCTCAGTAAAATAAATAAATACATTTTTTAGACGTGTAATGAGACCTGGGTAGGAGCAGCCCAACAGGTTCATCAGGACAACGGTCTTGGTGCAGAGGTAAGTGAGATTCATGAGGGCGTAATGAGAGTCAGGCTGGTTGTAATTTTATGCAAAGAGCTCGACGTTCACCTCCAGGCTTCCTCTCCGAGCGGAGAGTTTCAGTGAGCAGGATTCTTCTGGGGAGCTTGGAAAAGAGAGATGAAGTGACGGGAGGAAAGGGAACCCTGGCAGCTTCTCCTGTTACGCAGTGTGCTGAGCACCAATCGATAGCTCCTGCAGCGCGCCAACTCCGAACTCACAATAAGCCCCTCTTTGGCTCGCTGCTGTCTGCCATTAAGGAGACGGCTGCTGGAGCATCAAAAGAGGAGAGCAGAAAGGTCGCCAACACACCAGGAAAGTTCTCTGTCTGTTTACTTTCCTCTGCTGTAACGAGGCCTGCTGATATCCTGAGAGATAATTCAGGAGAAAACAGAAGCTCATGAAGAAACTTGAATCTGATGTTTTTATCTAATCAGCAGCAGAGGAAACGGGCCGAGGAACAAAGTCCAACCTTCACTGTTCCTCAACAAAGAAATCAGCGAGGACTTACACCAGCTGGGAGTGACTTATGGTGAATTCATGAGCTCAGACTGCTATAGAGCTCCGGACCCCACGTGACTCTCAGTTAGTGGACGCCATTTTGGCATGCAAAAAAGGTAAACAAACACGGATGTAACCATGAACATGAACGGGATCCGCTTGGATTTTACTTCGTCGGAGTTTACTTCACACTTTAAAACAGAAGAAATCGTTTTATAGAGTCAGAAATTAAATAGACTAAACATCTCCGACCCTTACCGTGCCCCTGGGATACTTTTTAAAACGCCAGAAGCTGTCGGAGCGGACTACACCGGACCTGGCCGGAGGAGCTGGGGAGAAGGTCTGAGACTCTTGACTCTACTGCCCGCTCCGACGCCAGAAGCTGTCGGAGCGGATTTCTTACCGGCACAACACCAGACCTGACCGGGGAACCCCTGGGATTTACCCGGAGGAGCTGGCTCCGGCGGCTGGGGAGAGGGAAGCCACGCTATTGCCCCCGCAACCCGACTCCGGATACGCGGATGAAAATGGATGGACGGACGGACAAATAACAGATTTACACGTAAGTAGTCTCGGTGAGACAGATAATAGCAATCCAAAGTGCTTTTTATGTGTGATCTGACAACTGATCAACCATTGCTTAAAAATGAAACACAGCTTAGCCGGTTAATTGCTGTCATCATAAAACACGTAAACAGCAGCACGCAGAACTCACGAGGCAACGTTTTACGTGATGTTTACTTGTTGCTATGAGTAATAAGACAGAAAAAGCCCCGCCAAAATAAGTTTAGAAAGCCCACTAAGAATCGTAACAAAAGCATTTAAAATAAACACCATACACAGTTGAGGAAACGTTGGTTTAAGTACCTGATATGAAGAAGTGGTCGCTGCATAAGTGAAAACCTTTACTCTCGGGATCCCACAGCTTCATTTTAGCCCGGTCACTAGCGCGTTTTATTACAATGATCCAACGTTTGCGGCGCTCCGGATCTTGGGGAATCCTGTAGATGGCTCATTCCTTATGTCGTCCGTGTTTGTTCTGCATCCTGGGGCACAACAGGAATCTACCATATTTCCCGTTTGATTGAGTTTTCTGACAATAACAAATAGTCCAGCTACCGGCTTCTGCCTGCCAATATGGCGCCGTTTCGATTTGAACTGTTGCATGCCGGGAGAAGTGACGTCAACTCCCGGAGCTCTATACACATGTCATTGGATGTGACAGCTTTAACACGATCTAAAGAATGAAAGTAACTACCCAGGAACCACCATGAACTGGCTGGAGCACCAGTGTCTCTGTTCTCGTGGGCTGGACCAAGAACGGAGCTCCTGCTCCAGCAGAGCTAGACTGACCTCTGGAACCGCCCACGTCAACGAGACAAAGGTCTTCAGCAGAAAACATTCTGTGGTCAGACGAGACAAAGACTGAGTTGTTTGGTAACAAATGCATCAGTACACAATCATGTCCTGAATATGCACAAGAACTATGTTAGGAGGAGTCAAAGTCAGACCTTCTAACCTAACAACACTCGACCTGTCATAAAGCACGGTGGTGGTAGCATCATGCTGTGGTCCTGTAGTTCCTCTGAGTTGAACGGTGCAAGTTGGTATGCAATTTTATAGTCTAACACAGCGGTCGAGTCAGACATTTTTGTTGTCCGCCATTTTTATGACATGGCAAAAAAAAATAAATAAAACGGTCAGGAGCGATTGGTTTTTCATCACTTTAATTATTAAAATAATAAACATTTAATATCACTCAATTTTCATTAATTTTTTTATTAATATTTAGTCCAAACAAGCTGAAAAGAATGGTCCTCTGGTCTGCCACAGATACACTCCAAAGCCTCCTGTCCATAGGGAGACCAAGTCTCCTCCCTTTCCGGTCGGCTCATGGATCCACGGAAGAACGAAGAAATGAATGTAAGTCAACTGGGCTGAAAGAGTTATTTTCTAATACGCGTTGCCTAACGCCCTGGATCGCACATACTGTATGTTGTACTGCAATTTAAATGAAAAGTAATGAGGTGCGTTTCGACCACGCCAGTCACGTACTTTGAGATTTATCAGCTTGTTAAAGTTCGTAATTAGCATGACTACAAATCAGACGGTGGTACCTTGCACCACAGAATCTCCTCTCCCCTAGCGTAGCTGCTACTTACCAAATGACCACATTGCTGGGTTTCAGATGAAGTTTCATCTACGTTGCATCGACGTCACTGTGGGCGTGCCATGCGTGGGGGTCAGGAAGTAGACGCCGCTGAACAGAAACGTTGTTGCTTTGTTTACTCTGTCCCGAAATGGCCAAAGTCTGTGCTGTCTACGGTTGTAGCAATCGCTCCAATCCGGAAAAAAACCAAAGTTTTTTTTTCGTGTCCAAAAAGTTGTGCGCCACCAAGGACTAACTTTACAAAAACTTACTGAAAGACGACGGAAGAAGTGGATCAACAATCTCCGGCTGAAAACAGGAGGAGCAGAATCGGACAATGTCAGAGTTTGAAGTGATTCCTTTTCTCACAGGTAAGGGTTTACTAAATGTTTTTATGGCATTTTATTGATCAGTTTTTTAGACACACGGCTATAAGAAGGGCAGATAAGCAGTTTGAAAGCTATTTGCAGTACAATTTAAATAAGATTACTGTAATCAGAGCTCAGATTCACCAAACCAACCATGTTCCAGATTCATTTATCCCCTCTCATGTGCAACTTCAAAGCTTTCAGCCCATCTCGTTGCCCTATCTAGAAAAAACTGCTGCAGTCATGAAACCCTCTGGCTCCCCAGATGATGTTATCCCACCTCGACTCCTGAAAGAGGTGTTTCCTTTAATTAGCAATAACGTGCTAGGCATTATAAATAGTAGCTTGACATTGGCTGAAGTTCCTCGTGCCTTTAAACACGCTGTTCTACAACCAATCCTGAAAAAACCGGCCTTGATCCCACCGATTACTCTAATCTCCGACCAATTTCCAAATTACCGTTTTTATCTAAGGTCCTTGAGAAAGTAGTCTATGCACAGTTGGTGAACCATCTAAATGAATATCAGGTAATGGACATCTGTCAGTCTGGTTTTAGACAACAGCACAGCACTGAAACTGCTCACGTTCGGGTGTTTAATGACATTTTCCTGGCTTTAGATTCAGGTTTCCATGTGGTTCTGGTACTTTTGGATCTATCCGCAGCATTCGACACGATCGATCATGACATTTTGATCACAAGACTTCACACTTGGGCTGGCATTTCAGGCACAGCCCTGGACTGGTTTAGGTCATACTTTTGTAACAGGTCTGCTAGGGTCATGCTGGGTGGCTGTTCATCCGAGTCACAGCCACTACGTTGGGGTGTCCCACAAGGTTCAATTCTCGGCCCGTTACTGTTCAACCTCTATATACTGCCCTTAGGAGCCATTTTCAGAAAGCACGCTGTCTCATACCATCTTTACGCTGATGACTGTCAAATCTACTTTTCATTTAAGCCAACTCAATCAACGAAAGTTCTGTCTGATTGTATCCTTGAGGTCAAGCAATGGCTAGCTGACAACTTCCTCCATCTTAATGACTCCAAAACTGACTTAATCGTTTTCAGTCCTAACAGTACCACGGCGACTCATCAACCTGACCTCAACTATCTCTCACCTAATGTATCCTCTGTAATCTCCAACCTTGGAGTAAAAATGGACCAGGCTCTGAAGATGGATGCCCAGGTCAATAACACAGTTAAATCATGTTTTTACCAACTAAGACGCATCTCAAAACTAAAGCACATCCTGAGTGTCGGTCTTCTGAAATCGGTGGTCCACACTTTCATCACTTCAAGGCTGGATTACTCCAACTCCTGCTTATACGGCATCAGTAAAGCAGCTCTTTCTAGACTTCAGCTGGTCCAGAATTCAGCAGCTAGGTTGCTGACTGGAGCTGACAGAAGACAACACATTTCTCCAATTCTGAAATCTCTCCACTGGTTGCCCGTGCAGTTCAGGATAAATTTCAAAATTATGCTTCTCACTTACAAATCCTTGAACCATCAAGCTCCTCCATATCTGTGTGAACTGGTCCATTACTACAACCCGCCGCGTGCTCTCAGGTCTGAAGATAAGCTCCTCCTAGCTGTTCCCAATGCACGTTTAAAAAGCCGTGGAGAGAGGGCTTTCTCTGTCTGTGCACCGAAGCTGTGGAACGCATTACCACTGCTAGTGAGGCAAGCACCAACAGCTAGCATTTTTAAATCATGCCTGAAAACTCACTACTTCAACCTAGCTTATACAACATAATTATGAACCTCACTGACATCTGCACTGTTTATAAACTGACTCCACAATTATCGACTTCCGTATTATTGAGGTTCTTTGTAAAATGTTTTTCTTATTGTGTCTTATTGATTTTTAGCTGTTAGTTTTGGGAATTTTGTTGTATTTCCTTTTTATCTTTTATCTGTGTTCGACATGTTTGTATATCGCCGGTTTGATTAACTAACATCTTTAGTGTACAGCGCCTTGTTTGGTTGTAATGCCTTGTGAATGCGCTTTATAAATAAAATTGGATTGGATTTACACATGACAACAATATCAGAGGGCTGCTGTTGTTAGCAGTTAGCTTAAGGCTGTAACATGGTGTTTATACCTTATTTTACATTTTTAGGTGGTCCTAGTGCAGTAACAGATGTTAAATCTGAAGACTGGGCCCCTACTCTTAACCTGGGTTACTAAAAGTGTAATGAGATGAGAGGCCACAAACAGAAGCGTCACGCCAGAGGGAGGAAAGAGCTAAGGCACGTGAGCAGGCCTGCGTCGAGGAGGCCGCAAACTCGGATGATGTTCTCTGTGATGATTGGTCACCAATTTTTGTAAAAGGTAAATAATCTTCAGGTTTTTTAAAATAATTAACTTAAACCACAACATTAACTGTCACAATGATTAAATGTGTGCAAACACAGAGTGCCAGACTGATGTGGAGGCTGCAAAGGCGGATGATGGCTCACCCATCCTTGATGGAGAACTTTCCAAAGGTAAAGAAACTTACGTTTATTTTTTTTTATAAATATCTAAAGCAGCAATATTAACACTATGTTAATAGACACTACGATGAAATATATGCAGACGATGTGATGATGGGTCACAATTTCTTTTAAAAGGTAAACAATCTTCTGTTTATTTTTTAAACCCTCCTACTGTCTTTATGGGTGACCCCGCGAGGAAAGTTCACCATTGAGCAGGATTGATGGTTTATCCCTTGGGTCCACGTGGAGGGGGTGAGGAGTGAGCACCACCTTTCCTCGCGGGGTCGCCCATAGAGACAGTGGGAGGGTTAAATAAGTACCTTAAACCACAACATCAATAGTCACAATGATTAAATGTGTGCAGACGCAGAGTGCCAGACAGATCTGACCATGGCCGACATCAGTCCAGGACCAGTGACAAACAGAGGAGTGTGGTATCTTGAACAAGCTGTCATGAGGAGATATTGTACTTGCAGATCGAGGATGCACTGTTGAAGGCAGTGTCGGGGTTTTTCTGTGCTTCTTTAAAGACGCCTGCTTTCACAAAAGGGAAAAAGCAACTTTCTGCTGATGAGGTTGAACCAACAAGGAAACTGGCAAGTGTTCGTATTCATGTAGAAAGAGTAATAGGTTTAGTTAGGAGAACGTCCCAGATTTTGCAAAGTAGGGCTTTGCCCATTCAAATCAACTGACTCACTTGCATTGGTTGACAAAATTGCTATAGTTTGCTGCACTGACCAACATTTCTGTCTATTGTCCCCCCCGGAGGAATGTTAATGGAATCCCTTTTGGAACACATTTAAAGTTTAGATTTTTCTATGTACATTTCTAATGACATTTGTTTTTGTATTGCTGTGTTACTGG